CCAACCTTGGCCCCTTTAAGACTTGTGGACTTCAACTCCCAGAGTTCTGGGAGTTGAAGTCCACAAGTCTTAAAGGGGCCAACGTTGGAGACCCCTAATATAAACACATTAAGCCACTCTTTGAGCTTACACCTTTCTCCAGAAACTTTAAATCAATTATCCACGAAGTTTCTCAGCTTCTCCCTCTTTACAGTAGTCCATACAACTACTTTTACTGCGCCCAACACGTTATAGATCAAAGATAGCAAAGGGGCTGAGAGATTTGCCATAAATAAACAGACTTGACAACCAAGAAACCCCACCCCAAAAATTTAAAAATCGTAATAAAGACATTAATGAGGGGTTACTTTATTATTATTTCCTTCAAAACATAGTTTGCATCCATTCCAAGATGGAGAGGAGCAATCCACATAAGTTCAACAAAAAAAATATTGTATAAGAAACAAGAATTCATCGAGGAAATGACAGCTGTTGCGTTAAGTGTGAGGTGTTTTTTTTTTTAACATAATACTTTTATTTTTTTAAATTTTATGTAGCATGCCTTATTTTAATTGTTTTAATTCGTTCTTCTGACACAAACAAGCTACTATATACTATATATGAATATAACATTTGCAGTATGCAGCGATGAATTCTGGATGACGTTGAAGGCACCTTTGCAAGTTGGAGAGACAAGCAGTTTGCTAAAGAAAGTAATGTAAGCGCCACAGGATGCCACCTCCCCCCCCCCCCACACACACAATAGTGATTCTCCCAATATCTGCTTCTGTCACTCACAATGTCACATATTTATACCACCCGTTTTAGATAAAGTACTTCTGATCGCTCGGGATTCTGTTGCTTATTTTTCAACATGATTTGGAGCAGGGCCTTCAGGAGGCATTGATAAAGTCATTACACAACAGAAAACACAGAGGGGTGGATGGATAATTCTTTCAGAGTGGGGTGTGTGTGTGTGTGTGTGTGTGTGTGTGTGTGTAAAACCATGGCCCCCTTTTTATTTTTTATTTATTTTTATTTTTTTAAATTTTTTATTGAGCATACACAGAAAAGAAATAGACATTTAAAAACAATGAATGTGGTGCAATCATCCTAACACACAGTTGTCTTAACATCGCTAATTCATATAAAAATTGTACATATTTACATTTTATATGCATGGTATATATTCATAAACCTTAATCATTTCTTATATTCTGGATCCTTCCTTTTTTCCAACCAGTGATAAAACGTTTCCCGTATTTTGTAATAATTAGATTTATCCTTATTTTTTAGTTCTTGTGTCAGTTTATCCATTTCTGCGCACATTCAAATGTTCCTAATTATTTCTATTTCGCCTGGAGCTTCCTTGCATTTCCATTTTTGGGCATAAACTAATCTTGCAGCAGTGATTACCTGGATTATTAAATATATGGTATCTCTATTGTATTTTCCCACATTAATTTCTAATAAGAAAAATCCGGGTCCATATTCTATTTTGATTTTGCACATCTCTTCTAACTGTGGCCCCTTTAAGACCTATGGACTTCAACTCCCAGAATTCCTGAGCCAGCCACGGGAATTCTGGGAGCTCCAGAGTTGGAATCCCCAGGGATTCTGGGAGTTGAAGTCCACAAGTCTTAAAAGTTTGTCAAGCTTGGAGGCCTCTGTTCTATGAAATAACCGTTGGAAAATTCTCTCTGTGGCAGGGGTTTCCAAACTTGGCCTCTTTAAGTCTGGAGGTCTTCAACTCCCAGAGTTCCCCAGCCAGCTGGCTGGGGAACTCTGGGAGTTGAAATCTTCCAGGGTTAAAAGGCTGCTGTTGCTGCGTGCAAAATATAAAACCCCGCATGGATCGGAGGAGAAGGCGATAGGATTGCACCTCCTTGCAACCCCCCATCTCCCAGGCTGAACGGGCTTCTGTTTCAGGAACCGTGAAGAGAGGCGGACTCCACTTCCCAGAATTCCTCCAACCGGCACGGCTGCCTGAGGGATTCTGGGAGTTGAAGTCCGGCTCCGCTGAGGTTGACGCAGACACTGCCGCCGACCTCAAGAGGGCGCCGGACATCCCAAAGCGCCGAACGCGTTTGAGGGCGACGCTTGGCCTTGCCGCCGCGCCGTAGTTCCCATAGCAACAGCAGGGCCGCCGCGGCCTACCTCGTTTTGCGCGACGGGCTTTTCCTGCCCGGTGGCCCCACGGAGGGAAAACGGGCGGCCCGCTGCAGCTCAGGAGCCCCGACGCGGTATTTCAGGCAGGGCTACCCGCCCGCAGAGCGTGTGCAGACGGCTTTTCCCCGAATCCCTCGGGAGTGCGGGGCCAGGGGGGCGACAGCCGCCTCCTGGGATTTCCTGGTGGTCTCCCATCCCATCTATCACAGAAGTCATGTTTGTGGGGGGGCTCCCCTGGGGAGGCCAGTTGAATGCATCCCTGACTTCCGGTTGCCTTGTGCCATGGGATCTCCTGGTGGCCTCCTGTCCATAGACAAAGCCTATATCAATATTTTTTTTAAACTGGAAAGCCAATGTTGCTTCGTGTTGCCTTCTTCTTGGGATCTCCTGGTGGCCTCCTGTCCATAGACCAAACCCAGGCCACGGTGTTTTTTTTTTAAGCCAAAGGGCTAAAATTGCTTCGCGTTGCCTCCCTCTTGGGATCTCCTGGTGGTCCCCTGTCCATTGGCCAAGCCTAGCCCCCCCCCCCCTTTTTTTTTTAAGCCAAAAGGCCACAGTCGCTTTGAATGGCCTGGGATCTCCTGGTGGCTCCATATCCTTAAACCAACCGGGAGGGGCATTCCTTTTTCCTCAGTTCCCAGGGCTGAAATATGGGCGGCCTGTCGCCTTCTGCCTTTAGGTCCCCGGGATTGAGCTGGCATTCCCTGTTCCCTTCTTGCCTGGGATCTCTTAGTGGTCTTTCATCCAAGCCTTTACCACTGGTCTCTTGGAGCTGATCTCACTGGAAGTTGGTGGGGGGGGCGGTCCATCCCCTCGCCTCTTTTCCCCCCTCCTCCCCCCGCCTGCAGCCATGAATGACGCCTCCCAAGCCCTGGGCTGACCACAACAAAGCCCAGAAGCCTGAGCCGTTGAGGCCCCCCTTAGCCTCCTCTGGACCCCCCTCCCCTCTGCTCCTTTGCAGACGCCTGTTTGGTGCAACACAATGAGGGCCCCCTCCTCCCCTTAGGCCCCCCCCCCCCCACGAAGGGATGCATCGGACCAAGAAAGCCGAAAGCGCCAGAAAAGCAGCAACTGGTACTTGCAAAATTCTCTTCTTCTTCCTCCTCCTCTCTCTTCTCTTTCCTCTTTTTTTTTTTTTGTAAGGAAAAAGGGGGCCTGAATTCTCTTTTTTTTTTTCTCTTCCCGGGCATTTCCTTCTCGGTATTCGGAGCAGGCAACGTGGGGCAGAGATCGTCTACAGGCCGTGGAAAGAGAGAGCAAAGCGAGAGCCAGGAGAGGAAGACCTGCTCGGCTCCTTCGGCGTCTCAGACTTTGGCCCTGAAGCCGCAGCCACGGCCGAGTGACCGCCTTAACCCCAAAACCATTGACCCGGTAGGTGCAGCACTGGGCCGGGGAGCCCTTCTTCACCTCCTTGCCTCAAGCAGCTCCAGGCTGAGGAACCACTGCCTTGCAGTGTTTAGAAAGGGCCCATCCGCTGGCAAAGCCACATCTCGTTGCAAGGGATTGCATTTATTCACTGCTACCACCCCAAGACTGCGCTGCCCCTTTCCGATACCCCCCTGTTTGTCAAACCTTGCAAGCTGTGAATGGACGTAATTCACAGCCGTGGAAATAAAAGAGGTTTTGCCAGGACTGAGATGGTGTTTTGTACTTTCTAAGGAAGCAGAACGACATCCTAATCCTCATCATCCAGTGAAAATTGCCCAGGCCACCTGCCTCCAGGAAACTGGGTTGCTTCCTCTCATTTGCTCACCTGAATTTGGGACGGTCCCTGCTAAGTCCTACTTCAGGGCAGGGACTTTCCAGGAGGTTCCAGCACTAATGACAAGACGGGATGTCCTCTGTGGAAATTGACCGCAAGGACAGCAACCGATTTCTCTTCTGGCATCAGATCTGGTTGAGCCTTGGAGCTGTCCAGCCTTCCCACCCGCTCTCCAGGAAGGCTCTTTGGCCCTTTGCGTGATAACTGCCATTCCTTTCAAAAAGCTTTTTTAGCGTCTCTGATCCTGGGGCTTAGTTGCCTCCTCTGCAATTTGTAGGGATGATTCTGACTCTCCTATCACTTTAGTGTGGCCCTGGGAAGATGTGAGGCTTTATCCCACCCCAAAGCTGACATTAGAACTGGAGGGAGTGATTAGTTTTTCCTACAGGGGAGGGAAACCCAACAATGACAGCTAAGTGCACTTTGAAAAGGAATCTTTTCTAAGCTGACCTGGATTTAGAGTGATTAAACATGATAATGTTTTTTTTAGCAATCTCCAGATCTTTTGAATATATCCAAATAAATGCTCTAAGAGACAGAAAACTCCTATTTCACGTGCGCAAGATTTTTTAGAAATACATTATAGTCAGCCTAGAGATTTCATAAATCCCTTTGTATTATCAGTTCTTTTTATCTCGGCTGAAAGATTCCCAGTATTTCTAGTTTATTGTATTTTTCCTCCCTCTTTCTCTTAATAGTCCATGGATTATTTTTCAGTCTCTTCCTTTATTTTGCTTTCAAAACTAATGTGCATATTTTTGTATATTTTTAAAATATATTTTATTTATATGTGCCCATTTGCTGCCCTTTCATTTTTTAAAATCTCAATTTGATAAGGAGCAATACTTAGTTCCACCATTTGGTTCCAAAACTCCGGAGAAGGTTTTGCATGAAACCATCCAACTCTGGTTGACAGCTGGCTGCTGTTTCTTGCTCTAAGCAGTCTTAGCAACAAGTTTGGTTTGGATCATATGTATTAATAATTAGTAAGATACATATTATCTTATTAATGTAAACTCCAACTGGTAAAAGTTTGCCTCTTCATGTTCTTTAGGTGAAGAAGAAAATTCACATGATCTTTTGTCAGTTGAAAGTATTTGGCGTGTGCACTCTTTCTGATTTTAATCTTCATTCTGAATATACATTTATGCTTATGTTTTTGTAATAATATATCCTCAAAATATGACATATCTGCTGTAAAATTTAAGCACCTTCAAGTGCCATTGGAAGGATGTAAATTCAGTAGAATTTAGAAAAGCTATGACTTGCTGGGGCATATCTGTATTAGAATAACAATATGCTGACCATATTATTTCTTTTTGTTCTAGTTCAATATTCAATCAAGAGTACCTTCCGCCTTTGCAGCCATTTATTCTAAAGGGGGCATCCCTTGCAGGTAATATCAGGGACCGGGGTGAGCAAATTAAATTTATGGAAACACTAAATGTTGAATCAAATGAATATTGCTTAATTCGCATATTAGCATTTTAAAGTGCTTTCCACTTTCATTTACAATTAAATAGGCTTTGAATTGTACTGCATGTAGATTAAAAGAGCAATAATTCAAATATAATATGACCAAGAAAAGTTAATTTTACTTGTTTCTGGGAATGCATAGTGCTTAAACATTTTTCCAGAAACAAAACTTTTTTTAAAAAAATTTTTTTTTAGTTTTGCTGGTGGCTGAATTACAGTTCTGCTGTATTCACATTATGTCTTGTGGCTGCTTCTGAATTGTATACATTTTAAAGTAGTTGTTACATTTTTGCCTCAATCCATAAAACTCACATATTGTACTTGTGATTCTTCCCTTCAAACTTGAAAATATCAATTTAGGCCCTTGTAGAAATGCTACTTAATTTTTAAATTCTATTTGGAGTGATTAAATGTACTGCCAAAGGCAAAATTGCCTTTCATGCTAACATGAAAAGAAAGAGGCATGTACATCTCCAATGTTATTAACCAAATAGTGAAGATATTCTTGTTGGATAATACCTTGAATTTCCATCTTAAAATGTTTGCATTTAATAACACTGTTAGAAATGTGATAGTTCTGTTCCTTCCCTGATTGACAGTGGAGGAAGATGTACAGTGCTTTGGGTTTTTTTTTTTAAAAAAGCATACTTAATAAAGAAAAAAATAATCCTTCTATCCGTGAAGTTGTAAGAACTGAAACTGGCAAGGTCGAAATCAGTTGGTGGGCCAGACTGAATGGTTTTGTAAATATGGAACAAACGTTTACAACTCTTAGAACCAGAAAACAATTATTAGAAGTTTATTTGTTACCACCCCTTCCCACCCCAAAAGTGGTAATTTCTGCTTTCTGCAATTGGCAAGACTTTATGGATTTAAAGGTGTCTTCTTAAACTCTCAATCTGTCCAGGGTGAGTCTGTGAAACTTTGAGCTCAATCTTTGAATGCGGAGTTGAGTTGGTAAAAACTCCAGAAAAGTCCAGGATTTTGACAGGAGCCCCTTTAGTGTGCAGTACACTGATTTCTAACATGTTGACAGGTACTTAAGACCACCCTTTTTCAATCGTCCTCGGGATGTTAATGGTGTTGGTTGAGAGCCCATGAGACAGGATAATTTATATGATTTTGCTAAAATAAAATGTGCTAGTTTTGTAAAAGGTATTTTAAAAAATTTGACATTAAGTGAAAAATAGAAGACACACACATTCTCTCTGTGTGCCTCTCTCTCTCTCTCTCACTGCTTTCATGTCAGTGTTGACCCTTGCACAAACCCGTTATTTATATTTCCAGTGCTTTGTTTTATTTTAGATTAGTCCATGGCTCCATAAGGCACACATTGCAATGGGACAGTCATCCTGCAACACTTCAGTTTGACCCTCTTCTTATTAATTTAGCAGAGGTAAACCGTTTTGGGGGAATATCAGCTTTTTAAGTCTGGGAGAGAATTCCTACAATTTGTATTTTATTGTTGACACTGTTCAAAGAAAAAGGGGAAGCTGGAATTTTCTTAAAGTGATGTATTACAACCCTCCTTTAAAAAAAAAGCACTCGAAAAATGAAAAGTTACAATTTTATGAAGAACACTGAAAGCCCAGTGCCAGTTTTGTCAAATCAATATATGCATGAAAGAAGATAGCGTAAGAAGTGGTTGGTTTTGTCCATGTAATTCTTCTGCTGCTTGGCTAGAGGTGGCCATGGGATCAGAGTTTGGGGGAAGCGGAGAAATCTAGAATGTTTGGGGGTAGTAAGGCTTGTAAAAATGAATCCATCGCCAAACTTTGAATCTTTGGTCTACATCAGCGTTCCCCAGTACCAGGGAACTTATTAAGATGTCTGGACTGGCTGGGGAGTTCGAAGAATTGAAGTCCATGCAGCTTAAAATTTCTGAAGCTAGGAAATGTTGGGCTGGATTGCTTTCTTGAAAAAATAAAGGCATTGTATCCTGCCACATCTACACGAATTTTCATGTAAAGACATTCCATGCACACCATTGCGAGTTGCGAATCGTTCATTGCCTAGTATAGAAAAGTAATTAATTTACATTGCGAGTGCTTATTGCTTTAGAAAGTTTAGAATTGAAACAGTTGGGTAACTTTATTGGTCCTCTCCCTCTACTACGTTCATGCTATATGTAATTAACTTTTGTACACCGTCCAGCCTCTTTCTAACCTTTCTTCTTAGGGTTAGGGTTAATTTTGAACTTACCAGACGGGAATATTCTGACTTTGCAAAAAAACTAAAAAAAAAAAACCACCCACCTTACTTGGAACTGCCTATATATACTCAGATGTTACCTTAACAGCTCTGAGGTCCTTGGTTAAGACTTGAGCTGTTTTGACCAGTCCCAGGCTGTGAATCGAAATGGAGGTGAAATCTTGAGTAGTAATTAGTTCAGAACGAGAACTTTTGTTCACAGAGCAATGCTTACCAAGGCATGCAACTAGCACTGATTACAGTACTTTCTGAACAAGGGTGTTTGAAAAAAAGAGCCAGAAATTAAACCAGCAAGAATACACAGGGTTTTCCTTAAATCACTGGAGGCTTTTAAGAAGAGACTGGACAACCGTTTGTCTGGAATGGTATAGGGTCTCCTGCTGGCGCATGGGTTGGACTAGAAGACCTCCCAAGTGCCCTTCTATTAGTCTATGTTCTATCTAAAATATGATATTAAAAAAATGGGGAAAAGTGCCTGGCTACTGTGCTAAAGGCAGAATCCCCTTGTTAAACGTGGCAATGCTAGATAGACCCAGAAGGGGGCAAACAAACCTTTGAGATGGGAGGAAACTCCTGAATTCTTCCCCAGGATATTTTGGGAGGGATTTTGCAGGCGGAGGGAGCGGGGTGCATTAACACTGCGTTGTGTGACTCCCCGCAGGGGCTGAAAGAAACGAGGCACCCCTACACATTCATCTCCCAGGAGGGCTTCAAAGAGCTGCTCTCAGCCGAAGGCGCTGCCCAGAAAACCCTCCCGTTGCTTCCTCGGCTCGTTCCGGTGTTAAAAAGTGCTCTGGTGAGGTCTCTGTGGCTGGAGGGCACAATCGCAGGTGGCGCTGGCCTTGTCTACCTTCTGGAACTTGCTCTGCTACACCTCCAGATGAGCGATTCTCAGCTTTGACAACTTGAAGATGGGGGGGGGGGGGGCTTCAACTCCCAGAATTCCCCAGCTGGCCCACACCTTCAAGTTGTCGAAGCTGAGAAACCACGGCTTAAGAAACCGCACCTTAGGCCATAGACGTTGTGCTTGAGTCACTGTCTCTTTAGCCCATTCTGGAGAACGCCCTTCCAGGAAGCGCCAGGTGGAGCTTTAAAAATGTCATGAAAAGAGGACTCAACTTGCGGGCAAAACATTTCATCCTCCAACTGAAACATTTGTTTTGCCTCCTGTTTATCTCCTGAGAAAAGTGAGCGGAAGGTTGACAGGAAACACCCAGGGGGAAGAGGGACTCTCAGCTTATGGGTTTTCCGTAGGTGTAATTAAACGGCAGGCGTGGTGGTGGATGGTTTCCCTAAATGGCTTCGGGTTGGGTCACAGCAAGTTTTTATTCGTGACAACTCCTTTTAAGAAGTCCTGTTATGGATGTAGGAATGATGGCCACCTATTAGCACTGCGTTCTTCCTCCCCAGAAGAAAATATTTACAATGAAGTTCAGTTGTTTTAAGCATCTGCGATTGTAGTTTTCTCCCCAAGAAAACAGCTCTTTTTCCAAATAACCCATTAGTTATTCTCTTCATATTATACTTCAGTCCTCAATGTACGACCACAGTTGACCCCAAAGTTTCTGTTGTTAAGTGAGACATTTGTTAAGTGACTTTTGCCCCAGTCTAGATAGATAGATAGATAGATAGATAGATAGATAGATAGATAGATAGATAGATAGAGAGAGAGAGAGAGAGAGAGAGAGAGATGTATAGATAGATAGATAGATGATAGATAGATAGATGGATGGATGGATGGATGGATGGATGGATGGATAGATAGATAGATAGATAGATAGATAGATAGATAGATAGATAAGAGAGAGAGAGAGAGAGAGAGATGTATATAGATGTATAGATAGATAGAAGATAGATAGATATAGATAGATAGATAGATAGATATGGATAGATAGATGATAGATATAGAAAGATAGACAGAGATAGAGACAGATATACGTATAGATAGAGATATACTGTAGATAGAGACATAGAGATAGATAATGATAGAGATAAATAGATAGATATAGAAATATAAATAAATAGATCAGATAGTTGATAGATAAATAGATATAGAAATATAGATAGAGAGATTGAGATAGATAGATAGATAGATAGATGATAGATAGATAGATAGATAGATAGTGATAGAGATAAAGAGAGATATGAGAGAGAAAGAGAGAAATTATAGATATAGATATGTTCTTTCTTTGGAGATCATGAAATAGAATTTCATTTTTAATCTGGGCCAGTGTGCTCACAGTAAAAAGTGATAATAAAGGTTACCTTATATGTGCACACAGTATATTTACACTCTGTACTGTTTAAATATAAATGATGCCAGCCTTCTGGAAGAAAAATTTTAAAATGAATTGTTTGTCTGCCTTGGGGAATGCAGCCCTCAGAATGGAGCAGTTCCAAATTACCAGCAATTGCAATATTTTTATATGACTCAACTGACAGGATGGTCACATTAGAAGGATTCCGTGAATGCATTTTCAATTGCATGAAAAGCATTGCCGTTTTGTTCTGGGCCACCTTTTCTGGACCCCACCTAATTATTATTGTTGTTGTTGTTGTTACTGTTATACTTTGAGGGGCTTGCTTTTTTAGCGAGTGCTTCTTCCACCCGGTGGATGTGTCTTCATTCAGTTTCTTCTCTTCCTAAAAGGCCCATTCAGATGATGAAGTGTTTAGAAGAGGGCTGAACGCTTTGGTACAGCTGAGTGCTGTGGTTGGCTTTTGGCTCAACGGTCATCTGAAGCATCTACTTTCCAGTGTGAGTATAACCATGCTGGATCCCAGCTTGCCAGAATTTCTGCTGATAACTTTGTTCTAAGTTTTCCTGGTTTGTGGCAATGTGGGGGGGGGGGGGGATCTGTATTGTAAAAGCGTTTCTGTGACTCTTTGTCCCTGTTCATGGGTGGTCTATTAAATTAGATTAAATTCCTTTGGAAATTGGAATAAGAAGCTGCTACAGGTCTGGGCATTTCAGAGGCGTTAGCTGGGTTTTCTCACCACCCTCACCCCTAATGCCATTTCCTTAGTCTTAGCATGTTAACCCAAGCCCTCAGATTTCAAACCATGGTTTATCACTTACTATGATACAGGGGGTCAAGTTATTCTCCAAAACACCTGAAGGGAGGACAAGAATGGAAACTAACCGAGGAGAGAAGCAACTTGGAGCTAAGGAGGAATTTCCTGACAGTGAGAACCATTAATCTGTGGAACAGCTTCCCTCCAGAAGTTGTGGCTGCTCCGTCACTGGAGGCTTTGAAGAAGAGACCGGGCAGCCATTTGTCTGAAATGGTGTAGGGTCTCCTGCCTTGAGCAGGGGTTGGACTGGAGGACCTCCAAGGTCCCTTCCAACTATGATATTCTGTTATAATCTATAAATCCGTCCCCTCCTGAAACCAGGGTTTAAAAAAAAATCACATTTGCTACTCTAGACAGACATTTGCCTGCCCGCCCTATAACCCCGCCGTATCCTGCCTAGATCAGACGAGGCATTGTGCTAAGCGACGAGGCTGTCCTCTTGCAGCCTTCCAGGCCATTTAAATGGAAATCTGACTTTGCCCCTTTGCCCCTTACTTTTGGCCCCCAGCTTTCCAAGAGGCAGATGAGCAAGAAGTTCAAAGAACAAACGACGGAGGCTTTGCAAAAACTGGAGCAGTACGGTGGAAAAGTAAGGGCAACCTGTTGGTCTCCTCCATTGCTTTTACTACCTGCATTTGTCTGAAGCTGGTTCTGTAGCCTCGAGAAGGAGAAGGAGAGCAGGATTGAACCAGTCCCTAAGCTTTTGCCAATCCTACATTCTTGTCAGTGCAGGTTTGCAATCCTGCCCTTCGACCGCTGAAAGGAGCCTCTCTCTTCTGCTGCAAGTGGGGGGTCCTTTGTATTCTTTAGGGGGAACCTCATTAATAAACGTGCACCCCCGCCCCCCTTGCCACAGATGAAAGGTGAGGGAAACTCAGCCATGGGGGTTTCCCCTGAGATAAGATACCTGGAGTGAGTGAGTGCCCTCATCTGAGTTCTTGAGCCAAGGATCGAATGCGGGGACCCCTCGAGCTCTTTGTGCCCGTGGCAGAAGCACCGAGGCGCTTAAGGGTCGGAAGGATTAGCCGGTGGCATCATCGTTGCCCATTTTTGGGGTGTGGGGTGTGGGGTGTGTTTCTCCTTTCATGTCTCCGTCAGGAGCTAGAGCAAAGGGCGGGAGCACAACCCTGCCCCACGGCAGCCCCTGGGTCTCGAACGCGGCCTTGCTAGCTTCCTGCCCAGCCTCTCTTCAAATTATGGGCATTGGTTTGAAGTTATGGCGGTGTTGAACAAGGGGACTTAAGACTGGGACTTAAAAGTTAGAGACACCAACGTGTCCTGGGATGGAAAACCAGGTACCTGGCAGCGGCCCTGCACTGACCGCCTCAGGGGTGCTTCATCTCTACCCCGCCCCCCCTCCCTCCACCCGCAGTCCAAGGCCTTTTGGCCTCCTGCAGCCACTGATGGCCCAGCTGATACTTGCCATCTTGTTTCCTCCGTTTCTTCTGACCAAGCACGACCAGCCCGGCCCTTCACAGAGTGGCTACTCCCTGCCCCTTCTGCATCCTCTCCCATCCTTAGCAGCCACGCCAGGCCTCGCCATACTCACTCACCCTGTGCCTCCCCAGTCTCTCTCTCTCTCTTTCTCTCACACACACACACAACTGTCTCACACGCTTCCCCATCCGGCAGCAGCCACCAGATGCCACCGTACTCACCCATGTCTCCCCACCACTCATGCGCCCCCTCCCTCCCTCCCTCCCTCCCATACCAGGGAGCCGGTCCTTACTTGCCTGCCAGCCTTCTTTCAAATTTCCCGCACATTGCAACTTCCTGCCGGCTGCCCCCTTGGTTGTTGGATGCTGGCAGGAAGTTGCACAGAGCCGCTTGCTTAATGACGCACGACCCTCGCTTAATAACAGCAACGGGGAGGGCTGGGGTTGCCACTGCCAAGACCACATGATGCCAGGCTCTGCGGCTGCAATCCTTAGCAACTCAAATCCCACTCCCCACGACCGGCATCGCCCAAGGGCTGCCTGTGTAGGGCGTAACCTTGGTTTATTCTTGCTCCGTGCCCCTAAAGAGAGAGCTGGGATAGTTATCACGAAAGCTGGGATTCCTTCTAGAGGTTGGCATGGGGCATCCAGAACCATCTCAAACCAGGAATAATTTGTTTTCAGGTGAAGAGGGAATTTGGTTGCCCCTAAACTGGCTTCAAATATCAACCTATTTTTCAATTCCTATTTTATGCACAGGAAAGCCTGACCATTATAAAGGCAAAGATTCCGACTTATTCTTCGATTTCTTCCTAAAGACGGCGATGAAGAGGCAACTCTGTTGGCGTTACTTATTTTTTCTAGAGTGTCTTGTTCTGTGATCTTTCAGGGAAAGCAGCGATTAATATTTAAAATTAAGACGAGTATCAAGAATAAAAGTGTCCTGGATGCTTAATTATGAAAAATGCTTAGGCATGGCACCATCTGTGTTTTAGGCCCTCTTCTGGGGGCTGAAGGGTTTGCTGGTTTGTTAAAATTATTATGAAACTAATTTATTTTTTTAAAAAAATATATGCACCTTTTACTTGCTAGGCTTAACCCTCACCTAAAACCTATGTGCATCTTGACGTTTTACTAAATTTAGATGCTGCTGCACAAGGGCACTAAAGACCTTTCCCAGTTCTGGCTAAGGAGGTCCTGAAGTTTCCCCTCTTAAAAAGGACTTTGAAATAGCTAAAACTGGAAGGGATTATTTCTCAGTGTTTTTGTTGATAAGATCATTTTAGTTTGATAGTGTTCTTATAGGAAGATCTCTTGTGTGAGTTCTAGATTGGAAAACCTACATAATTTGTTCTTTTGGGACGGAGGTCTTTTCTCCAGTATCACTATGCTCAGAATACTTTATGTTTCCATCAAACACAGAGATTTTCATGAGTATTAAATAAAAACAGTTTAATTGCACCACAATCCCCAAGTATTAAACTTTATATAACAAATACACAGGTGCGGACTTCCCATGAGTACGCTTAAAAAAAACACACACCATGCCTTCCGTGTCTTCATTTTTATTACAAAATGTGCACATTTAATTCTTGTTAACATTCTACAACAGGGTTTAGATGTACATGTATTGTACTACTCATATTCCTACAGTGGCAGTAATAAGAGCAGCTTGACTCTCTAAGCCATCTTGCACCAGATTAGATGCCATTTTTAAAAATAGAAAGAAAAAGAAAAACTACAACGGTTTGCAGCATTTTTGTACATCTATAAGCTTTTTGGAACTTCAGTGCAAAATTTCACAATTAATGCTGGCATATGTCTTCTATCGGTACTTAAAAGCATCTAGCCAGACAGTAATTTAATATTATTTTGACTATCATGAGAAGTAGGAGTGCTTTTTGTTTGTTTGTTTGTTTGGCTACTGTCTATTTCTCCCTTTATAGTTTTTTTTCCTTTTTTTCCAAAAAAAGAGTGGGGAATACCAACTTCTCCCTCTCTCAACTTAGATATTGTGCACTTGTATTTTTTCTCCGTGGTGACTTTTAAAGGCTGTGGCAAATTTACTCTTTGTTCAAATCATTTTTCTGCAAATTTTCTGTCCTTCACAGAAGCCTCTCTCTCTCTCCCTCCGCTTTTCACGCTGTGAATAGTAGGAATTGCAGCTCCTGAAAAATCTACAGCTCCTTCTAAGTAGTCATGCTAATAAACTTCCAATCTTACTTTCGTCTTGGAACCAGAGAAGAAAAATCCTTCATATAAATGACACTCAATTGTCATAGTTGTGACCTGGTCCATGTTTCGAGCAGGCACCTCCCTGGGAGTGTGACTGAGCCTCTCTTACTGGTTACCTCACCAGCCTTCGCTTTCGCTCCCATCTTCATTTCCAATCAAGAACTGGCAGGATCAATTAATTCCCACCTTTGAGAGGCCCAAACTTTTATCTGAATTACCGCCCGGATGTTCACTGTCTCAGTAAATTTGTCAAAGGAATAAATGTATCATAGGCAGTGGTTAAATAATACTTTTTTTTTTTTTTGCACAAGAAAAGCTGTTATAAAAAGTGTAGTTCTTGAATTTAAAATTAAGGAATCTGATAATTCCTCTCAGGCTAGGCTAGACTCCATGTGCCGGTCCATTATGGAGAGAGGTATTTTTACCACCACCCCGCCCAATGGGGAGAGCCTGGAAGCAGTGTTGGTTGCCCCATTCCTCACAGTGGCCCCATAAGGAAGCCAGCATCTGAGACCCCTAACATTGCGCGAAGCCTCCAACTGCCCCTTGGATGGATTCCCCTTGAAGTGCAACGGTCAAAAGTGCCCCCTCACGCTGAGAATGACATCGGATGAGTTTCCCAGAGCAGGGACTGTGGAACTCAAGAGCTGACGCTGTGGAAAGTCATAGTAACCAAAAAGCTTGCCTTTCCCTCCACCCCCCCCTTCCCATCCCTCCAAGACCTCCGCTGTGCAAGTTGGAAGGACAATAAATGCGGTTTCCCTATTGCTGTTTTCTTTGGATTGTTCTGTGACTCAAATGACATTTGGAAAAACAACTACCAGAGTATTTGCTGAATGACTTCTTCGCTTCACCTCAGTGAGTGGAAAAACACAGTCTCCAAAGGTAGGCTTTTAATTAAACAAAAGCTTATTTGCATTATAGGCATCTCAGTGCAAAGCTGACAATTCTTGATTCCTACGCGGCAACCTTGGGAGACGGGTTGCTGCAGAATTGCTCACGTTGCCCACTGATTGAAGGGAGAGCTGCTTGAGGTTAAATTATATTTTCAAAGAGTTGCATGGAACGCATAATGTTTTCATCCTACAGACAAACAAAAAAAAACAAAACAACTCATACAAACTCTTTAATTATTAGGAAAAGATACTTGAAGCCCAATTCTTAACCCCACCAACATACAGTTACGGATATAGCGAATGTCTCTTTTGAGATGAAATTATTATATCTGATCATCTCCATCTGTTTATCTAACTATCATCTGTCTGTCTGTCCACCCATCACCTACCTCAGTGATAGCGAACCTTTTTGTTGTGTGCCAAAAGCGCATGTGCGTGTGCTGGCACCCACAATGCAATATGCCCAGCCCCCCCCCCGTGCACAACACCCCCACCCCACCACCTTACCTGCACTGCGCATGCGCATACTTCCCAGCTGAATTTTGACCCGTTTGAGGCTGTTTTCACCCTCACGGAAGCTCGAGGGAAGGCTCTGTAGCCTCAGGAGGCCGAAAAACAGGCCCGTTTCAGCACTTCCAGTATTTCCAGAAGGCCCGTTTTTTGGCCTCCCGAGGCTGCAGTGGCTTCCCTCGAGCCTCTGGGAGGGCAAAAATGTCTTCTAACGGGCCGAAAATCAGCTGGGAGTGCAGATAAGTTTGGCTGGGGCTCACGTGCCATAGGTTCGCCATCATGGATCTACCTACTATCGACTAGCTCATCAGCGATATCTCAGCTAGGTAATCTTCCAAGGTCAAAGGTAGCTGAAACACAGAACCACAAGCTATCATTCAAGGTTCAACCTTCAATGTTTTGATGGCCTCTGCAGCACCTCAGCAAGCCACCCCCTGGCTTCTGGAGATACGGATGAATGTTCTTCATCTATACACGAGGACCCACAGAGGCCACCAGATCATCATCCGTGAGCTGTGCAAGTGATTACAGTTGTGGGAATGTGCGCTTGTGCATTCGAATGCCTTGTTCCCCATTCATAGGGCTGGTAGCACTTGCAATTAAGAGACAGAACTTGGTAGCAAGAAAGATCTGGGGTTCTATTTATTTTCTTAAATACTTAAATATTTCGCCTAAAACAGGTGGACACTTTTTGCATTCCAGGAAGATGTTTGGGTCCTAAAATCCCCAAGAATCTCTGAAACCAAGCAGCAAAATAGCAAATCCCAAGTATGCTGTTCTCTGTTCTTTTCACCTATCAAACTCAAGAAATCAAAGCTAAAGTTGGAAGGACCCAGGGCATACATTTCAACCTACTTTCTGCGGGTGTTACTACCCCTGCATCTCCCGTCTGTTATCCTTCTGGCGGCCTTCAGAAGCTTAAAAAAAAGCTAATATGTGATGTGCAAAGTGGCAAAATTCACAAGGGGGGGGGCAGTCCCTTTCATTTTCAGGCAGGGGCTGGACACTCATTTGTTGGGAACGGTCAAGCGTAGAGAAAGAGCTTGTGCAAAGCTTCCACACTTCCTCATGGCTTACAGGCCACTTGCCCTTCAATGACTTACTTTTTGGCAGCTTTCAATGAATTCATCGATGGTAACTACACCGTCTTTGTTCTTGTCCATTTTCTGCCAGAAATAAAAAAGGTTGCATAAGTGATTTGAAGCTCTTTTTCCCCAGATGCTTCTGGTCAGTTTTTTTAAAAGACTTATCCATGGATGCTACTAAAAGAGAATGGTTTGGTCCCACCGTTAACTTCTGTTCTTGATTTTATTTTACTTTGTTTCCTTCTTTTCGACATATATGGAAGGTGGTACATGCAAGAAAAATCAAAGTCTAGCACGGGACTTGTACTTTCCATTGAAGTAGCTTTAAAGTATTCATAAATTAAATGCCTCCTTGGACACAAGTAACTGATTCGTCTTTACAAATAGCGTAATAATAGCAAATTTGATGACCGTCAGAATTTCAAACCATCAAAGGGATCTTCCTGGGTTTTCCTTATAGGATTTAGTTTAAATCCTACCTGGAAAAACGATTCCACATGTTGTTTTGGAGCATCCTCCCGAAGAACAGGGTATGTGCATTTCCCCATCATATCATAGATGGCCTTCATTATATCAAGCATTTCCTGGTGGGAAACATATTAAACTGGTGAAAAACACACATCGCGTTGATGGAAAATGTCCGACCCCTTTGGAGCTCTCTCAAAATCCTGCCATAAGATGACTTCACAGTTGTGATTCAAGTTCCCACGTGTAGGCGCTTGTTTTCAAGCAATTCAGTGACCTCTAAGGGTCAAGTGGATTTCTCTGGGTTCAACAGAACACCATGGATCCTGTTCTAATGATCGATGAACACAGTAACAAGAGTTGGAAGAGACCTTGGAGGTCTTCCTGTCACCTGAAAGACCGTATCTCTCCACCTCACTGGGGCCTTTCTATTGCTATCTTGAGAAATGATCAAGAGCTGGCATGGGATAGGTTTCCTGCCTGAGCAGGGGGCTGGACTAGACAACCTCCGAGATCCCTTCCAACTCTGTTACTCTGTTGCTCATAACAAAGAAGGTCGGGAAAGGCCCCTCTCAAGATCAGCTAATTCCGGAATTCGTTTGTAAAGCAGGAGGGTCCGTGCAATGTTAGCAGAACCCATAAGGGGCAAATTTTGGAAAGCCACTCAGAGTCACCTTATATGGGAGCCTAAGAATCTCTAAATAAAATAAATCTTAGGAGTTTTAACTGTCAAACAAGATGGCTTAATTTACAGGTTTGCTCTAATGGCTACCCCATATATGCATAAAATTAGCAACATACAAACCCAGGGCAACAGAAAGAAGTTACTCCCACTGAGGAATAGCTTTAATGCTTGATATTGTCTGTAAGGGCATGAGTAAGTAGGCAATAATCCCAATAACTGAGCAGAAAAGGGTTTTTAAAAAAATCAAATATCTAGATGGAATTGTTCCAGTATCATACACATCTTGTTCCACACTTCTGAATCCATAGGTCATGATTTATCTATATGTGGGGGGGGGAAAGTGTACAGTTAGCTTTGCCTTGGACTCCTTACCTCTTTCGTTATACAGCCGTCTTTGTTTATATCATACAAATTGAAAGCCCAGTTGAGCTTTTCCTGCACTGTCCCACGGAGCAAAATGGAAAGGCCCATCACGAAATCCTAGAAGGGGAAGAAGGAAACAACAACAAGAAGAAGAGACAATAGAAAACATGGCAGTTCTGGTTGCTTTAGGTCCACATGGCAGGGAGAGCTGCGCTGTGGCAGCGGGAACCACAAAAGAAACCCAATTGCTTGATTGAGCGACACGTCTGTCGTGTGACATCTGAGCCTTCAGAACAGCCTTTGTTCCTTGGCTTGGTAGCTTCATGGAAGCTGAAGAACCTACGAAGATGGACAACCTCTTGCAAAACTCTCTGGAATCTTTAAAAACCCATTAACCCCCTTGGGTCTTTCTTGCTGTCATAATCGGAAAACAAAAATGCTCCACTCCAATTGAACAGAAGTATATACAGTTTCTCTAGGGCAGGCCACTAGAAGAGAGCAAACCCCACTCCCTACTAGCACCGATGGTGTCTCTTAGTTTGAGTCATGAGAAAAGCAGAAAAAGAGAAGTGAGAGCCCGTTTAGTGGAAGCTCAAACATCAAGCTAGAAACAGGGAGAAGGTGAGTTCTAGTTTTGCCTTAGGCACAAAGCAGCTGGGTGACTTTGGACCAATCGCTCCGTCTCAGCTCTAGGAAGAAGTCAAGGACCAACCAGTTCTGAAAACTTGCCAGGGAAGCTGCAGTCAAAAGACTGAAAGGCACGCATGCATGCACACAAATCTCAGAAGGTAACATCAATGCATCCAGCTTATTGGGGCCAAACAGAAATCTAGGTTTAAAAAGGTATTTCACATCCAGAAGTTGTAAATGCTCCAACGCTGGAAGTTTTTTAAGAAGAGATTGGATAACCATTTGTCTGAAATGCTATCGGGTTTCTGCCTGAACAGGGGTTGGACTAACTCTGTTATTCTATTTCTATTCTATTCATGAAACATCTTCAAGAAAACCACCAATTATCCCTAATTCTCCTCCTCCTCCTCCTCCTCTCTGCAAACCCCACTTCCTTCTAGCACTGATGATGATACCTAGTTGGGTCATGAAAGGTCTGCAAGAAAACCACCCAGCTCAGAGAGCACCAAGGACCCCTCACGTCAACCATGCACTGCGAATATTCTCCTTTATGGGCATCTACTATTGATCACTCAACTCCACTGAGCAGTGAAACCAGTAGCTTTACAAACAGCACTCGCTATCCCTAGCTATGGACCCAGCCCAGCTCCCATTTCATGAAGAATTGTTTTCGTTCTTGTGTTCTTGTTTTTGTGAAAGAAGAAGGCTTTGCTTGCATTCATGTGGACCTGAGGGAAAGCAGAGACTTCGGCTGATGAGATGCCCTTTTTCTCTGCCCTCTTGCCTTAACACACACAGCAACCTCAATTAATTGACTTCAATTAATTCAGCCGTATAAACGTTCTGTGCCAGGAGGGTGGGAGCGTCTTCCTAGGGGGCAGCCTAGAAATCAAGGCAATCAACACATAAACAAGATCAGGAAGTTACTTGTCTGTTACACAGCAAACGAAAGCTAATTGCAAAGACCAAGTAAAAGGTCATTCTCTCTCTCTCTCTCTCTCTCTCCCTCCCGCGCTCTCTCTTTCTCTCCAGACTCCACTGATTTCTTAAAAGCAAATTTTATTGCAGACGCAGTTTGTATTAAGCCCAGACGGTGATCCAGACTGGTGAGACTGAATGTGATTTGGAGCATGGGTGGTCCTGCGCCTAGTGCCTTCCCAGGAGCTCCTCAACCGAGGCCACGCCAACAGTGAAGAGATCAAAGCTAATCAAAGGAGTAGCTGTCGACCCTACCTGTAATTTACATTATTAATTATTCTTCCTCTCTTCGGATGATTTAAGCACGGCCTTGTCCTTTAGTGAACACTGAAATCACTGGCATAACTCAGTTGCCTATGAATACATCAAACTATCTCGTGAAAGGTAACATCCCATTAATTTAAAGGTTACTGCTCTGTAGGTATTTTAAATAGTCTTCTTTGGGGGGATGAGGAATGAAAAATGTGAGATAGAAATAATCTAGCCAGACGCACAAGAGCACTTGTTCTGTGCTTCTTAAAGAAAAAGCAGAACGTTACATAATAAATAGACCTGACTAAGATATACTTTATCCATGCTGAGGATTTTTTTCAGTCACGTTGAGTTAAGTGAAGAGATCCAGTGAGTATTTAAAACTGTTATTCCAGGCAGCGGGCTATCACTGCAGGAATTACCCAGAATGGAAGATAACGATGGAGAATTGGAATTGCTAGCGTATTATCAAAATCCCTTCGGTGGCTCACCTGTCTCATCTTTAAATACATATGAACTACTTCATGAATAAATAAATAAAGGCATATTTAATCATTTGCAGACTACTCCGTTTCTACATTCATAAAATAGTTCAAGCAATGAATGTGCAAATACTGACAAAAACCTCGTTCAAATGCTTTACTAACTTTTGAAGGCTGTACATCTTGATCATAACATTCCTCAGTATATATATATATCTTTTCCCCCAGGTTTTTAAGGCAGCTTTCCCAATGTTCATCCCTAATTTTATTTCCATAGCAGCCCTCCTCTGGGTCAGGATGCCAGAGTCACCGAGTGTGTGTGTATCACTTATAAATAATATATAAATGCATAAATTAAGGTGTGCAGAGGACGTGACAATTCCAGGCTCATCAAGGCAGCTTCCATAGCTGACTGAACTTGTTCTCTTGGGTCTTGGTCCAATAACTTAACTACTCCACTTCCCCGCGTTTACTATAGTGGTTTAAATCAGCAATTTGCATATATAACCCCCACCACCACCAAAAAACTTGGCTTATAAATATATTTGGTTGCCTCCATGATTCTCCAGACCAGGGGTCTCCAACCTTGGCAACTTTAAGCCTGGTGCACTTCAATTCCCAGAATTCCCCAGCCAGCTTCTGGGAATTGAAGTGCACCAGGCTTAAAGTTGCCAAGGTTGGAGACCCCTGCTCCAGACCATATACTTGGGAATCATCTCACTGTCTGCACAACATTAGTAAAAACATTAATTAATCTCCTCTGCCTAGTGAAGTATTTAGAATTGGAGAAGACCAAAAAGTTTTTAAATGAGTATAACCCTTAATTGCTCAGGAGAAACAATTTCCTTTCATTTAGCTTTAAAACAAGAAGGAATTTACAGAGGAAAGATGTTAATTGGGAGATAATGAAAGCTGAAACTTAAATACCTGATTGATTAAAATCAGGCCCTCTTTTCCTCCACTAATTGAATGTTTTCTGATTATATTAAAAAAAAAATTCCATCACTCTTCCGTTGAGGGAATATTGGTCGGAGAAGGGATTTAAGGAGAAGGTTGACTAGATAGAGGGAATGAGGTGTGGAGAACTAGAAAACCAGGACTTGCATTTTCCCAAATATTATGTTATTTAATAATAATATTAATAGTAAGAATTTGGTTGACCCAGTATATCTGCTTATGAGCAATATGGAGTATATAACCTTTTAACGAGATTTTGGACTGCATTATAGAACAGAAATAAATAATTTTTTAAAAAACAGCCTTACCTCAAAACTCACACATCCATTGTGATCTGTGTCAAATGCATTGAACAGAAAATGTGCATACGTTGTAGAATCTGGAATTAAAAAGATTGATCCTTATTAATTGCATATTAAAACTTAAACACTTGGAATGACAACTTGCTATCTTTTCCTTACCTCTATTAAGTATTCTTATTAATGGGGGAGGGAGGTTAAGCCATTATTTGATTATTGTCAAGCAATTACTTATAAAAAGTTAACATCCTTCTTATACTTTGCAAGATCCCAATCACAGATAACACAGATGGAGTTAAAAACCCAGTTATTATTTATGGAAATGGGAAATTAACTAAATTACACAGTAGAGTCTCCATTTATATTAGAGAATAGAAACCAAGTCACATCAATGGGGTGATTGGAACAAACCACACATGGGTGCATTTGCACATGTTATTCTGTGCTTCATATCTACCATTCCAGGTTTGTTATTTCAGGATTCAAATTCGGAAGGATGACAATGCCACTGTCATTTTTAAAGCACATCATTGAAGACCCATCAAATTATTATAAGAAGTGCCACTCAGGGCCTAGACAAGAGACATTGCTCCTAATTAGCTAAATTTAAAAATGATTACATTTCCCATTGAATTCAGTCAAATTTAAGACTCTTGTTGGCTCAGTCAAACTTCCTTTCTACCTAGCTACCAAAATGCCGCCACTCCAAATTGCTTTCTGAAACTTGTATGTGCAACTTTTGAGCTCCTTCCTAACCTTCATCAAGATTTTATCATGCTTTAGATAGAACATAGACTAATACAGTTGGAAGGGACCTCGGAGGTCATCTAGTCTAACCCACGCTCGAGCAGGAGACCCTATATACCATTTCTGACAGATGGCAATCCAGTCTCATCTTGAAAGCTTCCAGGGATGAATCTCCCACAACTTCTGAAGGCAACTTCTGTGCCACTGGTTGATTGTTCTCCCTGTCAGAAAATTTCTCCTCATTTCCAGGTTGAATCTTTCCTTGCTCAGTTTCCATCCATTATTCCTTGTCTGGCCTTCAATTGCCTTGGAAAATAGCTTGACACCCCCCCCCCTTTCCACTCTGGGGCAGCCCCTCCAATACTGAAAGGCTGCTCTCCTGTCTCCCCTGTCCTTCTCTTCCCTAGACTGCCAGGCCCTGTTCCTGCAACCGTTCATCACAGGTTTGAGCTTCCAACTGTTGCCCTTCTCTGCACTCTTTCTAGAGAGTCTCAGCACCATTTTTGTATTGTGGTGACCAGAACCGGTTGTGGTATTCCAAGTGTGGCCTTACTAAGGCTTTGTAAAGCAATACCAAGACTTCACGTGATCGTGTGAATCTAGTCCATTCAGTAACCATTTCCAAAACACAACCGCACTGAGAAAAGTGACTTATGACCGTTTTCACACTTTATGGCCATTGTGGCATCCCTACAAGTGTAGGGATTCACTGAACGACGGTGGCAAGAAAGGTTGTAAAATGGGGCAGAACTCACTGGGGCAAATGTCTTTCTTAGCAGCACAAATCTGTTGCTCGATTGTGGCCGTAAGTCGAGGACTACCAGTGCCAGTTCAGCCATTAAATGGGATCCTGTGTTTTGCCCCAGATGCACTTCCCAAGGGCTCTGCAGAGGAAGCTCCAAGAAGGAATCGAAGCTCGTGCCTGGATCCTGGTGGCCTGGGGCTCACCTGGTGCATTAGTCCCACTTAGGCCACGCCCCTTTCTCCACCCACCCCTCCGCCTGCCCATCTAAGCCCCAGATCCGGGGCTCCACCTCTGAGAGTCCAACACTTCCCTAGCTGGGCTGTGGATATTGGACGCTGACCTTCTCTCTCCTACGTTCATCTGATCTCCAATGAAAACAAGACATTAAAATGCATTTTAACAGTACTGGTCAGGCTGCTCTCTCTAAGCCACTAACAAAAATAAACTCAACCAGATCCTTCATACTTTCATACAATCTTCTCTTCCCTCAGTAGATCTGATTGTCTCACAGCCTTTACTCAGCAAAACAGCCAAAAAAAAGAAAGAAAGATAATTGCAATTAAAATCAGGCTGATGCAGGATGTTCTTCAGCTTTTAATGAGTCCTATTTAATATGGTTTCCCCTTACGATGCTACAATATAAGCTGGAAAACATGGGGTAGATTGTGAAATTCAACCCTCCTCATTCTTAATGATAGCAATGCTGGAGCCGTTGGATTTCACCTTTCCGTTTGATGGAATCGATTTTTGAATCGCATATATGACTCACATTTAATGCTCCAATCAGGCCGAATGCCCCGTCATTCATGCCAAAGCCGTTGTGCGCTTTTTATCTGACTCCAACCGGCTTAATGGTCTGAATCCGAGTGATTGGAGCTGATTTGCATTTGCACAATTAAAATTCTGCAAAAGGAGAAGGAATAAACAGCCTCGGGGACTTAATGAGGTTCAGACCAAGCTAACCAAAATGCTAATTGTTTTTACAATATTTATTAGCGTCTACGTTTAACAACCCAGACGGTAGTGTAGAAGGCAGTGGACACCTGAGCAGGATAAACAACTGGCAAATAAGGAAAAGAAAAAAGAGAACAGAGGATAAAACCATCAGCCACTAAGTTGCCGCTTTGCTTTGGAGGTTTTTGGAGAACCTCAAGATGGGGAGAAATAGAGTTGATATTGTAAAGCTATACCCTAGTCTTGGAATTTTAGGCAAAAGGAAGGTATCAAAATGATTTCAGCGGCATTATTGTCCCTCCATACATGTGTGTTGTGGTTTGCCGGCCGCTGGTGCAGCCAGCAGTGGAATCAGTCAGTGGGAAAGAATGGGCACCAGTCTGGAAGTCTGGAGAAGACTCAGATGAGGGTCCTGCATCTGATGCAGAGATGGGGCCAGGACCATCTGGGAGTGGGGTGCTGCCTTTGGAGCCTTAGGAGTCTGGCAGCAGCGAGGCAGAGAAACCAGGGGAGCCTGTTCAGCGTGCGTGTGCGCAGAGCTGCTAGAAGGCGAGAGCAGCTGAAGCAGAAGGGGTGACTCGAGAGTAAGGCTGGGAGGTGATTGCCCCTCCCATAAGGGATAAGGGACAGGCCAAGATGACAAAACCTTTGCAGGAAGAAAAGTAATTCGATCGGTTCAGATTCATTCTTGAAGCTCTTTGTACTTCAGTTGGTTTTCTTTCTAGTTCATTTGACACTTCTGTTATTGGCAGCACTTCACAGAACTGAAACGTGGGCGCTTATCTCGAGGGACTGTTTGAGATTAATTACTGGCTGGGAATGAAAACAATTCCCAGCATTGCAATAAAACAAGACTTGCTTTTAAAAGAAGCCTGTGTGAAATTATGGTCTCAGAAACCTTGGTCAGAACCAGGGGTGGGATACAACAGGGTTTACTTCTGGTTCGGGATTTATGAACTTCCCTGCACACTGTGAGCCACGCGCCTGTAAATCGTCATCAGCATGCTGTGTGCAGAGCCTTTGAAACAGCCCTTTTTTCCTGCTTTTTAAAATGCAGCTGTGCCTCATTCGGCAGCTGAAGTTGAAAAATCAGGAAATAAAGATCAGGTAAGAGCCCAGGTGGGCAGTTGGGCAAAAACATCAGCAGACATAGAACTGGTTCTATGTCTGCTGCTCTTCAGAGCTACCGGTTCTACAGAGGTGGACAGAACCGGTAGAAACCCACCCCTGGTCAGAACAGTGTGTGGTTGTGCCAAGAATCACTCTCCTGTCCCATCCTGCGTCATTTAAGGCACTTCGGGGTTGAAAGGATGAGCTGGTGACATCACCATTGTCTGGGGGACACACCCGTGGGAGCTCCTTTCATGTCCCCACCAAGGAAGTGGAGCGAATGACGGGAGCTCACCCCACCATGCAGCAGCAACCGGGTCTCGAATGGGAGCCTGCTAAGCTCCAACTCAGTGTCCTCACCACGTGAGCCACAAGACTCCTAAGTATCGATGGGTTTTGTTTGGCAGGACAACCCCAACCCTTTTCCGTCCAAGATCTTCATTTGACTAGCGTTAGCTGAGGCCTGATGCAAAATTGAGAAGGTTGGATTCATTTGTCATCCGGTGAGGGCCTCTATACTCTTTCAGGGATATCTGTAGGAGGGGTCCAACAAGTCAAGATGGCAGCTATGATGGCTTTGAAGTAGTGGAATTCTTGGCTTGCTGGGGTGGAGCCATGGTTAGAGTATAGCATTGCAGGGTAAACTCTGCCGACTGCCAACAGTTCAATCCTGACTGGCTCAAGGTTGACTCAGCCTTCCATCCATTCTGAAGTCAGTAAAAGGAGGACCCAGATTGTTTGAGCCAAGAGGTTGGCTCTGGTAAATTGCTCAGAGAGAGGGCCGTAAAGCACTATAAAGCGGAATACAAGTCTAAGGGCTATTGTTATTTTTGACTCCTTGGTTGCCGCCATTTTTTCTACATGACAAAAAAGTTTTCTCTGGGGGAAAAAAATGGCTCCTGAAATATTTGTTCTGATTCTGAGGGGGAAAAATGCTTGACCGAATTACATTTTTTAAAAAACCAACGAAGATACAGGATACTGTGAGCAGCATCCTAAATTCATTCAGCAATCAAAATGACCAAGAGAGATGGTGGCCTGGCTGCTTTAATTTCATCTGTTCTCATGGTTTTGTTGCAAATTTTGTTGCTTGGATAATCCCACCTCTCTTGCTTTGACTCATAAAAGCCAGGAAATCATTTCTCAACGCCAGCCTGGTGAGCCTTTTGATCCTGAGTGAAAAGCCATGCATGACAAGAAGGGATCGATCGGATGGTCTAGGGTCTCCTGCTTGAGCAGGAGGGGGTGGACTAGAAGATCTCAAGGTCCCTTCTGCTCTATTCTGATTGACTGATTGATTGATCAATTGATTAGCCATGAAGTGACCCCTTTCTAAACGAACTGCTGGATCACCACAGAATAGAATTCAGACCATCGGTCGGTCTTCCTCCAAGGCCGATGTTCACTACTGCAGGGAAAAAAAATGCTAGACTAGATGACCAGTCGGCCATACCTGGCAGAGTTTTTTGTTCCTTATAAGGGAAAAACGCTAAGAGTCCTTCAGTTTTAGGACGACTATATGAGTATCATGGAGAGGTTTTTCTGGCAAATATACTGTAAGGAAATACATTAAAAAGAACAAACAACCTTCTGGTCTATTTAGGTCTATTGGGATTTCCTGGTTTTATTCCTTCAAAAATTAATCAGATCCAACCTTACTTTGGTTCTTTATGTGAGCGGGGAAGGGAGGTGTTTTTGTTCTGAGATAGTCAAGGCTACCACCTTGGCACCAAAAAAATAAAATGAAATAAAATGTCCTTTATGCTGATCTCACGCCCACTTAAATATACAGCCAGCTCCTTGTCACTTTCTGAGGAATAACCTGGAGGCAATTTTTTTCCCTGTGTGTTTTTCAACGTCTACAGTGCTGAAGCTTGATTAGGCTTACTACTGAGCCTATTGGTGTTGTGACACATCTTTTTTAAATAAAAAAAAAGGAAATGCCATCCTTTCAAATAGCATGAAAAAGAAAATGCATCACTTTCTTTCTAACTTGAAATATGCTAGGAATATGCGCCATGTGGGAAACGAACAGAGGAGAACACCAGAGTTGGAAGGGGCCTCGCAGGTCTTCTAATCCAATCACCTGCTCAAGCAGGAAGAGGCGATTCTGGACAAATGGTTGCCCAACCTCTTAAAAAAACCAACCAACCAACAAAAACAACCCATGAAAACATTTCTTAAAAACAAAAGGATGTTGGCTGTGTCATGTTCTTGAGGGCTTCCCATCCAGTTCAGGTGGAGAAATGGAGGGGGGAAAAAAACATCCCAGGGAATTTGCACATAATTTGGCAGAGAAAATTTCTCAGCGAAGAACCACAGAGTACAGAAGAACAAGCCAGGAGAAAGTCTAAATCGGGGATCCCCAAACTTGGCAACTTTAAAACTTGTGGATTTTAACTCACAGAGTTAAACGTGGGTTGGGTGGCTTACCGGGGAGGAAAGGGCCCTGATTCCCTTCATTAGCTGCAGCCGGGAACCCCGTCTTTAAAAAGGGAAGCTGAGCACATGCATGGCAGCCGATAAAATGCCCTGCTTAAGAAGAAAAGAATTGGCTGGCTTCCGTACGAGAACGAGAAGGAGCCAGAAAAATAAGCACAAAAACACCAAGTTGGCTTCCTTATTATCCACCCTGCACCAACCTATGCAAGAGCCAGGAATTCTTCTCTGATGGTGGTGGAAAGCTGTCAAGCCGGTTAAGAAACAAGGAAGCCACATGCCTCACAACACAAAGGGAGGTCAGCAGGAGAGCCTGCATTTGCATCAACTTTAGGCGTTGAGCTACCCATTTCAATGGCTTCTGGATTCCATCTCTCCAGGCCTTTCCTAAGATGACATTCTGTGGGAGGGAACGAATGCCGGCAACCCCACCCCACCGAGCGTTTATAAGGCGTCCCTGGAAGCATTGCCAGCTGTCATTACGTGGCTCTGAAGATATTTGTGGGATTTCTTTTCTCCTCCTTCAAAGCTCCAACTTGCATCTTGACTACTAGTGAAAGAGTCATTCTTTATTAGTCAGCCTGTGCAGGAGGCACATAAGAAACGAGTCGGTCTTTTATTCTTCTTTTTAGCAAGGCACGATACCACATTTCAATTTTCCTCTCCCAAGAGTTTGTGAGTTTTGGTAACTACAGGAGACAAGGGGAGCTAATTGTCACTTTTCAGAGGAGGGGCAACTCTGCTTGGACCCCTCCCCAAATTTAGGAATAATCCGATATGAGGGATAATGATGGATGAATACAGTCCTATGTCTATGGAGACTCTCAGTGCTCCAGGTCATGGTGGCCCCAAATGTGTTTTTCCAAGAGGGAACTGGGCTTTCAAGGAAAAAATCAATTTCCTTGAAGACTTTTCTCTTCTCATCCAAGAAGCTTCATCAGATTTAACAGATAATCAGAGTTGGAAGGGACCTTGTAGGTCATCTAGTCAAACCCCCCCCCTACTAAGCGGGAGACCGTACACCATTTCTGACAAGTGGCAGTCCAATCTCTTCCTGAACGTCTCAAGTGATCAATTCCGTCTGGAGTCAGAACTGAGGAAGCTTCTTGGATCAGAAGCAAAGCATCTTCAAGGAAAAACCAAGGAAGTCCAGTTGCCCCTCGAAAGAAAAGCACCCATTTTGAGACAATAACAGTCTACAATTCAACTTTTTTGAGAAGAACTGATGATCGCAACAATTTATGTGTCTAGATTAATCTGGCTTAATTTTTGAAGGTGCATTTCTTTTTTTTCCTCCTTTCCAATTCCTGCTTTTCGTACTACCTTGCCTGACAAAGATAGGTAGGAGAGAGGGGTGGGATTCAACTATTTTAACAACCGGTTCTGTGGGCGGGGCTAGGTGGGTGTGGCCCTGTGACTGGGTGAGTGTGGCTTCTTTAGTTTTGCAGCAGCCCCTCCACCCATTTTTTTGGCCTCCTGGGCCTCAGGGAAGCCTCTTTGGGGGGGCATTTTTGCACCCAGGAAACTTCCCCGGGGCCCAGGAAGGCAAAAAACAGAGCGCAGGGGGGACAGCACCTCCACCCCATCCCCAGCATGCCCTTTTTTGCCTCCTGGGCCCCAGGGAAGCCTCCTGAGAGAACCAGTAAGACAACGAGTGGGATCCCAGTACTCCTGATCATTGGGAGGGGAAAAAGAAATACCTGAAGGTGTGATTGGGCAGGGAAGAATGCAGTCAGCGATGCGCATGCGTGATAAGGACTGACTGGGTGGGGAGGGGCAGTCGGAGAGGGGGCGGAGCCAGCCAGGGACACGATTTGCCGGTTCTCCAAACTGCGCAGAATCATAACAACCGGTTCTATGGAACCGGTCCAAACCAGGTAAATCCCACCCCAGGTAAAAGTTCTTGGTAGCAAGCTGGGTATTAAAACCTATTAAAAGTATATCTGTTCCTTTTTTGTTGTTGTTTTCTTTATTTCTACTGTTTTCTTAATAAGACCCTTTGAAAATGAAAGAAAAGATAACGATATTTATTGCAGCTCTCCCCACCCCTTCAAGCTAATTTGGCACAGAAAGCAGTGTGAAAACAAAGCATACCTTTGAGCCCAAAGGCAGAGTATTCTTGAACAACCAGCCCAGGGGTCTCCAAACTTGGCAAGTTTAAGACTTGTGGACTTCAACTCCCAGAATTCTCCAGCCAGCTATGAATTCTGGGAACTGAAGTCCACGAGTTTTAAAGTTGCCAAGTTTGGGGATCCCTGGGCTAGCCTGTGGCTAAGACATAAAGACACCCATGAATGAAACCCCAAGAAACCTTTCCAACCATCCGTGGAAACGCATAAGTCACTGAATTCCCAAGACCACCACCCCACTACCCCCCTGGATATTAAAGCCGTGAGACGTAACGGGGGGTGGGGTACATGCAAAGAGGGCTACTTATGCCAAAGGACTCACCTCCCTGTGGGAAGAACTGAGAGTAAATCTCTTTGAAGGTCTCTTCATTAACAATCCCACTGGGGCACTCCTAAAGAAAGTGGCAGAGAGGCGTGTGAATAACAAACCTATTCTCCAGCTGTCCAAAGCACCACAAACTCACACAATGGTTTCAAAAGCTTAAAGGGGTCAAGGGAGACAATTGCCTGCAAAAGGAATCGGACTCTATATGCCAACTCTAGGCCTTCCTCTTATTTCCTGGCTCCACATTTGCTTCCCGCAAGGAGACACGGAAACCCCCTGATAGGATTCTGGCAGTTAACTCCATTAAATCATGAGTCTCGAGCCAAACTTCCAAAACTTTCAAAGGATTTATTGGGAGTTAACATGCCGGCACTGCCTGAGTGGATCCGACTCTGAGACACATCATTCCTTGTCACCCTTGACCCTGGTTTTCCCCCAGCCCTCTGGGTGTATCGTAATTCATATTCTCCAATGGGACACCTCCACAGCCCAGAGTCCTCAATCATGCTCTCCAGTTAGAAACTTCAGTCGCCTAGTTACTATCTTTGAAAAACTACTCTATTTATGGAATGCACTTTCAGTTTCCAAACTGCCGCACTGCTCTTTCAAACCCCTTTCCCCTCTCCCTTTCTGTTGGCAACTCTAAAAAGACCATAGAAATATTTTATGAGTTGACACCCCTGTCTTCCCGCACTGAAGCTCTGGGAGCGACTGGCCACTGCTCCGAGTACAATTCTATTAATACAGGTAGTCCTTGACTTACAACAGTTCATTTAATGACCGTTCCAGGTCACAATGGCCCTGGAAAAAAGGGACTCATGGCAGCTTTTCACATTTACGACTGTTGGCAGCATCCTCCAGGTCGTGTGATCCAAATTCAGATGCTTGGCAAACTGACTCCTATTTATGATGGTCGTAATGTCCCGGGGAGTCACATGATCCCCTTTGGTGACCTTCTGACAAGCAATGTCCATGGGGAGGCCAGATTCACTTAACGACTGGGTTACTAATTTAACGCCCACGGGGATTCACTTAACAAGAGCAGCAAGGAAAGTCGTAAATATGAAGCAAACCCGATTTAAGCAACGTCTCTCACTTAGCAGCAGAAATTTTGGACCCGATGGTGTTTGTAAGTCGAGGACTACCTGTACAGACAGCCCACCCACCACCCTTTGAACCCTATCAAGGAATTCTAGATTTTCTGTCCCTCGGCTAATAAAATGGTCTCTTGTTGAAGTTCCCTTGCGAGGAACAAAACTTAGCGCCTTTGTTTGAAGCCTTCCTTGTTCTTCATGTCTGATAGGAAAGATGCAATTTATGTAAAACTTCCCCAAACCTCAGCGATGGCATCCAAGGGTGAGTGTGGCTGGCACATCATGGCATTATAGAATATGAAAACATTTCTACCCCCCACGAGAATCACTGACCAACGTGCTTCAAAGCATCCCAGTGTAAGCAGCTAGAATTGTATTTGCGCAAAACTGGAAAATTGAAAAAATTCCAATAGCAGAGAAGGTGATAAAGAAATATAATGGAATGTGCAGAAATGAGTAGATTGACATTTGCCATTAGAGAGCAACAAGAAAAAGAGTATATAAAATTTGGGATTTATTTTATCAATGGCTAGATAAGAAAACAGAGAAATAAAATATATTAATATATTAATACAATATAATAGTAAGGATAATACAATATAATGTTAGGTAATAATTGATTATTGTGAAATGAATGACAATATGAATTAGGTTTTGTAAAAGTTGAGACTTGCTCGAAAAGGATGATGTGCATTTGTAATCATAGTCTAATAATGATTTGATAATAATATAATATTAAGTGGACAATAGCTTCATACATTATGAATCGTAACATAAAATTAGGAGGGAAAGACTGTTGATATTGTGCACAAGGGATAAGTACCAACCGACACACTGTACAATGGAAAGAAGATTTTATTTTGTGTTTTGCGTTTTTGTGTTTGTTTATGTTTGTTGTTAAAAAAAAATACTATTAAAAAAAAAAGCATCCCAGTGTTGACACGGCCATTGTTTAGAAATCTCTTGTTCTTCTAAATCCATTTTATCCCCAAGGGAAAGAGCGAGTTACATCATTCGGACCAGATCGATTTGAATCCCGTGGGGCAAACGTTTGATCCCTTAACCAACCCGTCTTCCGCCCCTCCCAGGAAAGGTGAGGAGGGACAACCCAAGCGATCAGTTTCAGGAAGACCTCTTAAATCAAAGGTGGCCACCTTTTAGATGAGTTATTGCCTTTCAGGATGACCATTTATAAAAAGACAAAAAAAAATATGATGACGATTCTTCTGGGGCATGAAAACGATGCAAATACAGAAGATCCCTTGAGAAAGTTTTTCACTCCGAAAAGAGGAAAATGTCTCATTGAGCTTTTATTATGTCTGGACCTGCCTTTCTCTTTTTCTCTACAGGACAGAGAAAAATACATTCAGAAAGTCAGACTTTGCTGCTTTTAGGGCAGAGGACCTCAACCTTGACAACTTTTAAGACTTGTAGTCTTCAATTCCCAGAGTTCCTCAGCCAGCAAAGCCAGCAAAGTTAGCTGAGGAAGTCTGGAAGTTGAAGTCCACGAGTCTTAAATTTGTCAAGGTTGGAAACCCTTGTTTTAGGGTCGTGTAGTGTGAAGGTCCTTCAACAAGCTTCAGAAACAAAACTCACCCTTTCTGAGGCAACCCCAATTCATCACTGTCAGCCTTCAAGATTTCTTTCCTTTGCTTTGCATCTTTCGGCTGCCATAGTAATGGGGGGGGGAGGGGTGAAATAATTGGGTTTTGTGGGTGTGGGAAACGTGCTGGGGGTTTAGAGAATGAAATGTATGAGTTGGGGAAAAACTTTCTTGTTTATGCTTCTTTGGGGAAAAACTTTGGGGAAAAACTTTCTTGTTTATGCTTCTTTGCTGTGCTTTGCACAGGTGCAACTCTTTATCAAAAATAGGCCAAAGTCAATGGAGAGATGCCTGCATCACCACCTGAAGATGCCCCACATGACATTATATATAACTGTAATTGGATGGACCATTTGAACTATGGTGGGTGGGAACGTTTCTATCACTTTGTATATGGGATTTTCGTGCTCAGTTCCTCAGATTCAGAATTCCTTTGATGCTGCCACTTGATTTCTAGTAAAAGATGTTTTTCTCTATATTAATGGAGTCTAAGCGTTTCTTTCTTGGATTTTGAATGGAGCACTGCCTAACATTCACCTTCCAGGCTGTTCTCCCCCAGGGCCCCATCCCAAATAACACTTTAAGGGTGGACCTTTGCTGGCTAGCTGGAGTTCACACCTCAGGTTGCTGATGCTGAGAAAGCAGGGTTGTACATGAATGTCGGGTACCTTCTCCAGGTAGGATTCAACATTTCAAATTCCAATTTCAAATTCTTTCTGAGAATTCCAAGAAACATGCACCATAGTATTGGGATGGGCTGCTACTGGTTCGCACCTGTTCGGGCAAATTCGATGTTAATTTTACATCTGGTTTGGCGAACCAGTAGTTGCAATGACTGGCTGGCCCTGCCCACCTCGCCTCTCCCAGGAGTCTCCACGTGGCCTGTCTTGGATCCCAGGTAAGTGCAGGGCCCGCTAAGGTGGGATTAGAACTCATCGTCTCTTTCTGATTGGCCCAAAGTCATCCAATTGGCTTTCATGGCTAAGGCAGGACTAGAACTCACAATCAGAAATGGTGTGGGGTCTCCTGCTTTGGCAGGGGGTTGGACTAGATGACTTACAAGGTCCCTTCCAACTCTGTTAATCTGTACCTGTGTGTCTCCTGGTGATTGGCCCAAAGTCATCCAATTGGCTTTCGTGGCTAAGGCGAGACTAGAATTCACAGTCAGAAATGGTATAGGGTCTCCTGCTTTGGCCGGGGGTTGGACTAGATGACCTACAAGGTCCCTTCCAACTCTGTTAATCTGTATCTATGTGTCTCCTGGTGATTGGCCCGAAGTTCCCCAGCTGGCTTTCATGGCTAAGGTGGGACTTGAACTCTCCATCTCCTGCTTTCTAACCTGGTACCTGAACCTCCAGACCAAACTGGCTATCATTATAGCACATAGTACAGTTGTAATAGTGCAAAATGTTTTAACGATTGATCTAGCGGAGTCACGCAAGACATCTTCCCCAGAGTACTTTAAGATTTCAATTTCACAAAGCTTATCTCTTCCTTCCCTTTCCATTCTGGAGCAGAAGAAAAATCCAAAAAGTCAAAGGGAAGAGGGCAGACATGGCATCACAACCCAAGTCCCACCCCTTGTGTCGATTGTGCTTTCTGCCTTGTTAATTTCCACAAACACAAGCATACGTATGGGTGCAGCTGCTTCCCTGGAATGGCATCTCCCAATTCAAGGCTCGGCCTAAGGAATCCCATCAATAATAACAACTCGATTTGCCAGAGGTTTCTATTTTCTCTACAACTAGAAATGCAAAGCAAAAGAATCGTCTTCGGAGCAGTTACAATGCATCAAATAATAATAATAATAAACTGGGTTTTTAAGCATGATTTTTGTGCCTGAAGTTTCTATTTTCACACTGTTTGCTTGGTGACTCTAAAGGAGAGGAGGCTCTAACTAACCTAATTATAAAACTAGGAGTACAAAATAAATACACCAAAGTTCCAAACCATTTCATTACAGCTAATGGCCTGGTGACAAGGGAATCCATCTTTTAAAAACAGAAAGCTAACGGTAAACAGGGGGAAGACAAACCGAACTGTGTAGAGGATGTCAGGCCTGTGTGTTTGACAGCAAAACCAGCACATTATTCTGAATACCTTTGTAATTTTTACTTGTTAGCTCCTACCATGTTCGAAGATAAAATAAAAATAAATACAAAAAATCTTTGCTTTATATAATAACTGGCGGTGTGCAAAGTTCCTTTTTCATCGTTGTCATAAGGGCAAACGGTCATTGTTCAAGGCAGTTGCTAAAGGAGGATTGTCTCTGGTTGATAGAGGAGAAATGCCAGGTTGTATTACCAGAACCAAAGAGTTCTTCTTCTACAATAAGACTTTCCACTGTGATCCATTAAACCACCTGCCACC